AAACATTGACAGAAATAAACAGTTACAATTTTCAAGACATTCAAATGTTGATGATTTTCTTGAATTTCAGTTGCCAATCGCTTCCAAAGCTGATCCAAAATATCTACCTCTGTTAAAATTACTGCAGATTGCAAAAAAGGCAACTCAACAAATTTCTACAATTTGCTACTTTGACACCATCAAATATACCTACATCATCTTGGAGCAAAACTTCATTTTGGAGTGAAATTGCAGAAAATAGCGCAATAAACAAATCAGATTGTGTCCAGTGAAAGCTAGTTATTTAAAAACAACATGACAAACAACAGTGGCAAGAACATACAAGATGATCAATTACAATCTATTAGGTTGTATGTTGCCAAGGAAAGATTCAGCCATTATATTCACAAGACACCACCCTCATCTGTGATGGAATGCATTTCTTACCTGATATTGTGGTCAATGACGAGTTACTTGTACTACTGTTATTACTGGTTGCTGTAGGAGTTATATTGCTAGGTCCTAAGTCTAATGAGATATCCCAAAATGGATCTATTGTTGTTGATACACCACTAAAAAGAACAACAACTTCAAAATTAGCTATATAGATGTATAAACAATTAAAGGTATAAAAAAAGATTGTCAGTAGATGTGTAACATCAAGGCATGTATACAAATGTGATATTAGGGAAATACAACATTGGGTTTGTATTTCTGGCCATTATTATTCTGACTGGCAAGTCATAACAAGCTTAAGACAACACCATTGTGATGTTATCTTGAACACTTCCCACCTCCATCAACTTCCCATTCCCACCCACCTAATTCAAGAAAACATGCAACAATGGAATTACTTAGAACAGAGGAGAAAGGTGCTTGATCCCTACGCAAAATGATACACAAAAACTTCCATACTACAAATGCATGTCAAATTATACAAGGTTCAAAGAAGAAAAAAGATCCTGCATGGTACAAGTTATTAAAGAAAAAAGCAATAACTTACTGGCAATTCTGACATGTGACATCCGATTGCAATCCCCCCGTAAAAATTTGATCTATAATACAGTTACAGTGATTTGGATTGGTATTTGCATTTCCATTCATACCTAGAACAAATTAAGTTTTGTGTAAGCAAGTATAGTGACATGAACATCACACAGAACAAGTAGTCAGTTTTCAGCAAGAGCAGAAAGCAAGCAAAGGAAAAGCAAAGTATGAAGCATCATGTCTGTTATACAGGTGTGCTACTCCGCTTCACAGAGTGTAGTAGTAGATGTCTACGAAGCCATATGTGCACAATGAGTGAAACCGTACGTTACTACATGTACTAATGAAATAAATGATTTTTTCCAGTTCTGGGAAGTTGTTCGTTAACATTAAATCAACTGCTACTTGTATGATATCATTGGCATCTATGTAAGGTTACACTCAGGTAGGTGTACTACGCAATAATTATTCCCACTAGTATGCACACAAGAAACACATTGTAAAATGGAGCTTACCTTTACAATGTCTATGAAGTACATCTAAAGCTGCTATAAAGAATTCATGTGCATCTTGTTGTTCATAGCCTGCTAAATGTCTTGCATGCGTCCATACAAGATGAAGTAATCGATATGGAATGTGTACAGAACGTAAACCTGAATAAAACTGTAAATAAATTATCTGTGAGTACGCCAGTGGAGTAACAAGAATTGGATCCAACTAGATAACTAACAAACCATCCGACCAAGTCAGACATTCGCCTAAAATAAATAAATGGATCAACTCTGCAAAATAATGGCATTTATCTTAACACCAATTTCTTTCAAAAAAAATATCTCACTATTTTTTAACCGACTGATTATTTCAGTCTGTGTTTTCGTTAGATGGTACAAGTTGTGAATTACATCTCATAGCCTAGCTGTTTCAAGCATAACAGCCACACATATTGCCAGCATCTTGTAAATCACGATTGTCCTTCTGAGGCTATTGCACATGAAATGACACAGCTACATGTATTGGTGCGAATAATTATACATAAATCATACATTAGTTACTCCGTTATTTCAACGACAAAACTTGTTTACCTCTTGAAATAATCTTGACATTTCACAAACTAGACACTGACCAGACCGTTTCTGTTCACAATTGTGCTTATCAGATAGGAAGAAGTCTCTCAACAAAGGTGTGTGTGTCAATGCTTGCACTATGCAATTCATAAAGCATGTATTGCCTAAATTAATTAAACCACGTAAACCTGAAAAAAAAGTAGATATGTTAAATACTGATGATTCAAATAGCAATTGAAGATCATACTGTTACTAAAGATGCACTCAAGAAATTTCTACTTTTCAGTATCTAAATCCTAAAGTTCAACACGTTGCCTGCCGAAAGCCTTTACTGATGCCTGAAATGAATGAGGGACAAAAATACCTCAGCAGCAAACATGTTAAACTAGTTTGAAAACAGATGCATAGACAGTCTACAGTTTTATATACAAAATGGATATTACCCAGTAAAGTAGAATGCTACACAAGTTAAAATATTGTCATTTTCTTTTTTTACTTATTTGATTTTCAGGGTATTTTATCATATGACAATTATTTCTTATGACAAGAATATCTTTTAATATTAAAAATTTTGCTTGGTGACATATGGTGAAGAAAGATATATAATGTACAAGGTACTGTTTGATGTCTAGAAGTATTACAAAATGTACAATATTTTTGGTGGGTTTGATACGTTTCACAGAGATGTTTTCACATGGAAACTGCTGTTAAATTGCTATTTATTCATATTATTTTACAGTTTCTCAAAAATCAGATAGTGAATCAAATAAGTTCACATACCAATACTAAAATGAATAATTGTAAACAGATTTTGACACAATATTGCTACTGCTATATACGCTTAATTATGTGCACGTGTTGTGGTATTGTAACTTTTATGAATTCTCAGAGTGAGTCGAATTGCACGAAAAAAAAATTGATGATGCATCTACTGGTAAGATTTGCACATACTCAATGAAGTACGCAATTATTAATTTTTTTTTTTTTTAAGGAATTTCAGTTGCATCTTTATTGTACTTCCGAGTCAATATCAAAAATATAACATTGGCAATATTCAAAAGTATTTGCAAATTTCAAAAAGGAAGCCATAGTTATTAGTCAATGCTGTGGGGGCAAATAGAAATTTGCAGTAGATTTAGCTACACTATATGCATACAACTGAAAGTGCACTGTGAATTTCTCATTGACATGTACGTTCTTGTAGTTAGAGCACTTCATAAATCAAGAAATGCAAATTTGATGACCATAACTGCTTAGTTAGCTAGTGTTGATGTTTAGTACATCATTTTATTATCCTCAATTATGAGACAGTCCTTGCCTTCAGCTGATATTAAGAATTATCCCTGCCAAGTAGCTGTTATGGGCCTCAGCCCTTTTCTTTAGGCAATAACAGCCACTTTGTGACATTAATTCTTGATATTGACCTCAGACAAGGCCAATAACTGAACATTGGCGACAATTTTGTAAGCTTTAAAATTAATCTTGTTTACAAGGTGATTGGCGAATAGAAGAATGGATGAAAGTGAATACAAAGTTATAACATTCCAAATTTGTAAATCAGTAATCATAAACAGTTTTACGAAGCCTGGACACATAATGTGGTTGAATGATAAATAGTTCTGGCCACACAGTAAAATATTTTCCATAATTGACAAGTTGTAGGACATGGGTCATTTGGGTTAGATGCATTAGTTGCATGCAACTTCAATACAGCGAGGCAATTACACATTTGATTTTACAATATATAAACAAATTTTGTTTCATTGTAGGAATCCGATTATTGCCATTATATTAAAAGTAAATACCTATTGTGGAATTTTCTGTAATTTTTCTTCGTTTGGGATTTTTTCTGAGCAACTCCACTTCCCTTTGGGTTGGCTCCCATGGACAATACAAGGCGTGTTTCATTCCTTAAAGTAATACATAGTATAAGAACATACTGTAGAGAGATGTACAGTTACAAGATGCAAAATGAGATCATTTATGGGGTGTAGTGTGCATGGTAGCAAAATAGTAGAAAACTGTGGCTAAACTCAGGTCCAGTAGGCTCTAACTGGATCTGGTGAGAGCCACACCTACCTACAGACTTTGATGTCACTTTCAGACATGCCATGAGTAATAGTTTGAACATACTCAATAATGACAAATCATACAGGAGCACAGGAGTGATCAAGGGCAAAGTTCAAATTCAGTACTTGCTGAACAGTTGAAGGCTCGTGAGAGTCATTTAAGATACCAAATGCTTGCATGCTATGTATATGCAAACAGCAAATAGACAGTTGGAATGACAAATTTTCCAGGTTGTTTGCATGCAATTGCACCATGTGGCATGACATATAACTATGTGTTTACACATTCAGTAATATACAGTGCATTTCATTTTAGCTCAGTATTAAAACAGATAAAAAACTTACAAAGAAATTGACAAAAAAGTAGTACATTTAAAACATGAATCACTTTAATACATACATGTATGTACTTCCTAAAGGCACATAAGCCCCAATTTTGTGTCAATTTTTAAATATTTTGTTGATCCATGAACAGTTCACTCAGCAGTATAAATTTGAGTACAGTCTGCCCTGCCTTCTAAACATGTGACATTAAGTTTGGGAGACTGGTTTGCAACATATGCACTTGCAATTAGCACTTAGACAAAAAATGTGGAGAGACAGCAGTTACTGAAATGTCCAGAAAAGTCATCTGGCATGAATTTATGCGCATGACACTAAACTTTGGATGTATTAAAGTCTAATCAATATGTTCAAGGTAAAGACATCAGCGATGCTGGGTGCCATGTTAAAATGCTGATGGGGCTTCGTCAAAAACTGTCACATCATTGATACACATACCTATAGATTTGGCAGCTTTGGTTTTCACCTCCCTGGCAATATACTCAAGATCTCTATCATATACATAGTCACCACATATAAAGCACATCACAGCACCATAACTTAAGTCAACAGCTGCAAACAAACAAATTAACATTATCAAACTGTTTAACAAGTACTGTGAACTGCTTTCATTTCACGAGAGATTTTTTGGTGAGTGCTATGTCACAAAATTTTGTTTTCATGCAGGCCATAAAATCTAATCGTGAAAATTCATAGTGGCTAAAACTGAACTGTTTACATTATTGTAATATACAATTCAATTAGCCATTAATTGTTCATTGGTTTTTAATTTCGCTATGTTTACTGATACATGTAAAAATTCACTAAATCGAATCTGTTTGAAAATTGAAACAACAATAGAGATCAATGTTTTCCTGTTATATTTGTGAATTTAAAACCCAATCCAAACCATCAAAATAGTGAAATTAAATGTCAGTGAAAATGAATTCTTTTATAATATTCAGTCATGAATGATAAAAGATTACTCTATTGCAATCCATCAGTCCTAAACAAAACAAAAACATTTAATGCCATATGATAAATAAACTGATATAAATAACTTTACATGTTTCAATTTTAAACGTACGTTTACAATCGACTGATAGTAACATGTTACACTTTATTGTATAGTCATGTGTATGCATGTTTCGGGGCTATAATATTCTAATACTATATTTACACAAACATTCAGGGTTTTTTAATATAAAATATATAGCACAATCTGTGCTATCACTCTGACTAATTACTGGTCAATGTCTATGCATGTGGAAGTACATGTACATCATAATAATTAACTCCAGCTAACTACCTTGCATATTCCTCATCAAGCCAAATCATTCAACAAATTATTTTCAGGAACCTCATTTTTACACTAACCGTACGTTCAAAATATAATAGAGTTCACTTTAGACAAAATGACTAAACAAGACATAACAAGAATTGATTTCCAAGGCTGACTTGACACAAAATACTTGAAGTGTACCTTGGCCAGCAACATTACTGTCAAAATCAGCTACTTAATTGTTTGAATGACATAACTATTTTCCCCAAAATATTTGTTGCAGAAATTTGCCTATTTTAATTTTTTTTTCAATAATTTTGAAACTAAAGAGCATACTGGTCATTTTTTTTTATTGGTCACAGGCCTTGATGAAAATTTAGAAAAAAAACAAGACAAATATGATGCAATTTAATTTGTAATGGTTGTCTTTAGCACTCAAAAGGTCAATAAACTATTAAAAGACGAGATTTCATGAGTAGCAACATTTGTTGCTGTGTAATGTCTCTCTGGAGAGAAAAGGTTTGGAATATTACAGCGCTAGTGAGCTGGAATATGTCTACTACATTTGTAGATGTTGTCAAATTAAAACTACTTACCTAAGTGATGTCTTTTTGACTTGGCATGATCTTGTATATGTTTTCTACTATAGCACCCAAAAAATACACAATGCAGACATGAATGGAGACGTTCTCCATGACTGCCACATATATGGCATAAGCAGGCTGTAGCCTATTAATGCAAACACATCACAATTATAGCATTTTAGTATCAGACCACATAAAGAACAAAATGATATGTAAACCAATGTCTTTTTCTTCATTAAACACATCACCAGAATGCAGTTTAATTTTCTAGCTTCTATGTTTTCATAGTAACTAAATACATGTAACATATCAAATCACAATTTACAGCAAAAATCAACAGGTAACGCATGAAAACAAAACAGTTTACCCTAGGTAGAATGTTATAATACTGACAAATGGCCGTCATTCACTAAAATGCAATCATCATTTTCTTTAAAAAAAATAGGTTGGTGACTCGCAACTTTTAAGTCAATATCCTTATGACTGGGGGAGTACAATTTATTGCAAAATGTAAATTTATGAATATAGAGAATGTGATACAATTACCACGCAACTGGACGGACGGACGGACGGACGGACAGACTTTAAATCACTACAGTCATGAAGTGCGCATTGTATGTAAACGAATGATACAGCGCACTGACTGCAACAATTAGGTAAGTTTTATGGGAGAACTAGCGAATAAATGATACGTTTCAACGTCTTAAATACAGAAATTTATCGTTCTTTAATATTGTGACCTAATATATAAAACAGTTTATTTTCAACAACATCTATTTTGTTCACAAATTTGCAAAAGAAACAATGAGAACTATTATTTTACATGTAGACTTGGATTAATTTAGCGGATTTTACTCATCAGTGAAAATAGAAAAAAAATAAAATCTAGTGAATAATTGATGCATTTACAGTACATGTACAACAAATCAGTACATTAATAGTACATTGTTATTTTCATTAAGGCTAAAAAAGTATTATTGAAATTTTAAACTAATGAAAAATGGCATTTTAAAATTACACAATGTGATATTGATGTCAAAGCTTAAAAATAAATCACTATAATAATGTGTATGTTTTCTTATTAATAATTACCCATGTTTGTACTCTGATTTGATTCATATTACTGCATTTCATAAAGAATATGTTAATTATATTGGGTGCAATAGAGACATCACTGATTTGAATCAGATGATATAGGGCATTCCAACTTATGGCCCCAAACATGCATACATTTAAAACCATGGTAGTTGAGGTAGTTAAAGTTGCATTCAGATTATTTCTAATGATACTCCCATGAAAATGCAACTTGGATTTGTTATGCGGCGGGTGAAAAAAAAAAATGAAGATGAAAATAATTTTTTTTAGTAATTTTTTGCACTTACAATTCGGCGAGTGAAAGAAATTACGCTGAAAAAAAAATTTTGTTTTTATTTCATTTTCGGGTCATGTTCATTCGGCTGGTCCGCGAAACAAGGGATAATAAAAGTCAAACCTAATAATGTATATTGCAAAATACTCCCGACTTATTATGTTTATATACATGTGTACCACACATCCAAGTATTCGTTCAATGAAACACTGACATTTTCTAATGCGCATATGCAATGGATGTTTTGGTATGTACTAGCAATGCACACGTGCATCAGTGGTTTTGATTTTTCATGAAACGAATAATGTTGTGTGTCGCAATAGTTTTGGTTTATGACAAGTCATAATCTGATTTGGTCTACAGTATGCAGTAATGAGCAAAAATACACGTTTTTGTCTATATTATCAGATGTATTTTGATTGTATCCTCCCATGTATGAAGTAGCATGTGTCACATATCAAGTAGGATGTCTGGGTATTTATGTAGATTTAGCTGTGATCAAGGGTTCAACATCATATACATGATGAATGAAAACTCCAACATTCGTTGTCATTGCATCTAAATAAACAATGGTGTAATTCCTTAGTTGTGTTGAGCAGGATCAAAACTCCTTGTATGACAGGATTCTAGTTTGTCACAAATAATAAATAACATCACTCCTTAAAGTGATGTTTACATATTTGATATATCATTCAAAAAAAAATGAAATAAAAATTTTCGGTTTGGAGAAAATCAATGTACAAAATTGTGTCTTTTTTTAGGGCAATTTGCCATCGTTTCCAATGGGATGAATACATCTCAAAATTGTGATCGGTGATAAGATGTATAGCATTTTACCAGGCCCATTTTGAAGAAGTATTGAAAAAAGTTACAATATTTTTATAGTAGGTTTTTATCTGGGGAAATGCATTTTATGCACATTATTTTACTGTTTTTTTTCCAACAGATTGACAGTGAACAAAAAAAGTTTACATACGTTTTATTACGTCTTTCAAATAATTTAGCAGATAATGCAAATTATAAAAAAATCTGGTTATTGCTTGTCTATATTTTAGTCAGGAAATAGAATGTGTTTGGAATTTGAATACGTTCTTTATGTGACGAACAAAGTTTATTTTTTATTCAAATTCAAAGCGAAAAAGTGAATATATACAATAAAATGATACCCCTTGTCATGTGCATGCCACTTCGGTAAGCAGTAGATACCATAACCTTAAAAACCGAGTAGCTTGATCTGTTGCATGTAAAGTTGGTCCTTTTTATGCATAATGTTGAAGTAATATCTACTGGTCTTCAACTCAATACATACAAGAATATTCAATTGTCACTATCAATGGGTTTATTGCATACTTTTGAGATTAAACCCCCAACCCCATGGTTTTCACAGCGTCTTTCAAAGCCGTCACTGAAAGGTCGCATTTGGGATTGCTGCAGCATGTTCTACACTGAGCGTTCCATGTAGATTGCTTGTCAAGAAAACTCTAAACTAAATGACTTGCAAATGCAGATAGAAGGTGTGGTACGTTGATTGTTTCACACTACTGAAAGTAACATTTATTGTGTACTTTTTTTTTCCAGCAAACTAGGCATGTACAAAAATGCATACTATTGAGTAATGTGTCACTCATTATACATGAAATAAAATATTGCATACTTCAAATATAAGTATTTTGTGAGAGAGCTATGGCATCAACAATATGGGTCAAGACTACCATCTCTTTGGCAGGGAAAAAATCGCAACAAATAAACACGTACTCAAATAAGTTGAGAAAGTTTGTTGTAAATTGCATCATTGATTTATTTTGTATGGCACTATGATATGGCAATCTTTTGTGTGTTACATCGACGTATTTTGAAAAACTTGTCTTAACATTTTTCAGAAATTGCTATTTTTAGAACAATTTCATAGAACACAATGTTAAAGAAAAATTTCATTTTTGACTTGTTTTAAAACCTATTTTTGAAGTGATTCAGGACAAGAAATGAACCCCATCATTCACAATATATGATTTTTCAGCCTATGTCACCAGCCAACAATTTGTGATACGGCATAATATCTCTCGTCTTTGAAACCCATGCTAAAAATGTTAAAATACTGACAAAATGGCCAATATCTACTAAAATACAACCATCATTTTCTCAAAAATTAGGTTTGTGACCCCAACTTTTTTTAAGCCAATATCCTTGTATTACCTGAGAGTATAATTTATTGCAATATGAATAAATTATGGGTATTTATGAGAAGGGTTCTACTTTAATGAAATGTAAGGTCAAAAAATATCCTATTTCACAGAGACTGATAAACACTCGGTAGCATAGCAACAGAACTTGAAACTTGTTATACAAGATGACTTGAACAGAGGTTTACACCGAATTAACAAGACGACTAATTTGTGCATTCCCTGTAGTGTTCAGACTTTGCTTATTGAAAATTACTAGCAGCTAAAAATTGCTCTCCTGTAAACAGTAATGCAAGCGAGTGATTAAGGAGCAGTGCCATCAACATTTCTTCAAAATTCTATGGTATGGAAGTGATAACTAGCTCTTCAGGGTCCTGAGTTGGGCAAGTGATCACTAGCTTAAATGTAATGATAATGTAAACCTCTATTCCAACAAAGTTCATTTCAAAAAAACAAGATTTATAACAATAATGAATCTCCCAGTGTCATATTCAGAGAAGTGTCTAATTGCAAACAATGCGTTTCACTTCATACATTATCTTGCCATAGACCTTTATCATCCAATACTGTTTTAAGAGGGATTTATTATTGTTTGAATAAGAGGGCAAAATGGAGATGTGCAAAATGATGGGAGCAACTCAGTTGGGCTTATTATTTAAGTAAATATTCTCGTCTGAGTGTGGTTATTACGTATGGCCTCTATTTCAATTATAATACACCAAAATATTAAAAAGTTTAAATAGATGCTTCTTAGCAACACATAGCAGGTGATTTGCTTATATCCTGCAGTGGCCATTGCTGACTAATTTGCATTCCAAGTCTTGATTTTGAGTCCCCTGCAATGATACGATACGTACAGTTCCATGCCGATATGTTTCAGCAATGCGAAAGTGAGGCTTGGAATCTAAAGAGACAGCAATGGCCTCTGCGCAATGAGACTAAATTTGGTCCTGTACAGAAAAAAATGGTTCAAATCATGCATAATCAGTACATAATGTTTGATTTAACATTTACTGATTTACCCTGCATATTCAGCATTATCTCCTTGCTTTTAATATGTAAGCAACTTCTATGACTTGCTTTCGGTATCGCAGAAAGGCAATCAAAAACTTAATAATTATACAACTTTTTTTTTTACATCGCCTGCTGAAAGCCAAAACACATAGTCAAGATGATTGGAAAAAAGCTGCGTCAGCAGACAGTTGAAAAGTATATCATATCTGCAACTGTATACATTTATTTCACAAAGTTCAGTAGTCTATAGTTACATAATTTATAATTATCCATCAATACAAATTCATACAAATGTACATCTTGCATGGCATACTTAACGAGCCATGCATGGCACAGTCCCCGTTAGTTATCAAATTTAAGATATATAGTTTTGTTTATAGTAATATAGCTGGAATATAACCATGACAGGAATATGATTTTTTAACATTAAAATGATTGACATTTGTATCTGATCGTCAAACAAGTACTTGTCCATATTGAGAGATATTGCTCTGGAACAGCATTCAAAATCAACCATTTTGATTACATGTATATATATAACGTATAACGAATATATAAAATTTAAATATAACAAGTCAAAGCATTTAAGAGATATGGCTCTAGAAGCCCAATCATTAAAACAAAATGGCCGCCAGTCAGGCATTTTGAATCCAATCTGAAAAATAAAATGACGAGCATCAGGAACCCGTAATGT